TATATATATATATATAATGGTATCATGCACGTAGAAGAAGGATATTTATTTTATACGTGCATGGCCATGCAGGGAATTGTGGTTTCGGGAACGGTGGTTGCTGTTACTGCACGATGTGTGGAGTTAAAAGGACCGTTGTTCGTGTCGATATTTAGTCCGGTAAGCCTCGTCATCGTAGCCCTTGTCGGATCATTCGCTCTAGACGAAACTCTTCACTTGGGAAGGTACACCAAAAACACAATATATATATGTACGCTTTGTTCATATACGTACATATACCTATATATATATATAATATGTACACATACATTGAGCCAGGGATGGATCGATCGATTTGACGATGTGGATGGAATGATTTATATTCGTTTCGGTTTTTGCGAAATCACAGTATAATCGGTACAGTGATGATCGTGGGAGGAGTGTACACGGTGCTATGGGGTAAAATGAAGGAAATGAAGAGTAGTGTCATCGTCGCTACCACCACCTCGTCCGATCAACTTGATGAAACGAACAACGTTAATAAAGATGACAACGTCAACAATCTTTCAGCAATAAAAAGCGAAGCCCCGTGAATCCACCGCGAAATTGTTCATGCATAATACGCACGAGTCTTTTTTTATATATGCCATGGACCCTTTAGCCAATTACATAAACACACATATGCATATGCATGACATATGCATGTGTGTCGTGTGTATATCTCTTCCTATATATGAATTATTACCTTTTAAACTCTCTCTCTATATATATGTATATTAGCTTGTAAATGTATATTAGTATTTTTTTTTTGTATGTATATATTCGACGTACGTGTTTTGATTATGCGAGTGATGTAGGAGAGGGAATTGGTATTATGATTTTGGAAGGAAAAGAAGAGGCCACTTTTTTTTTTTCGTTAGACCACAAATAACATTCAACTATGAACCGATATTTTTAAACCTTACATATTTAGACTAATTCCTGTTCGATTCTGATCAATGCATTAAACGATAAATGACTGACCTTAAAGATAACTCCATTCTCAGGACAGAGTTCAAACCAATAACCAAATCTTTGGTTAAGGGACTATCTTTCAGGTTTCGAAGATACCACTTTTATCGATTGCTACATTGTTAAAGGTCACTTTTATCCACAAGGTTTTTAGGTTATTGTGTGGAATTGAGGTTTATCTCCACGCCCGAAAATAAGTTTGTGATTGAGTTTCCACCATTATAAAAAAATATTGAGAAATATATATTAGGCATTCAAATTTTATATCATTTCTTAACTCGATTTGATTCGATTTCAATTTTTTTAAAATATTTATGCTCTAATTTTTTATGTATATATTTTTAGTTATTTTAAAATTGTCTTTAAACTATCATATACCATCAATATTTGCATGGGATTCTAGAAAAAAGTATACGCATAATACGTGGAAAGGGTTAGTTAGTTAAACTCAGTAAAACATAGTCTTGACAAAACATAATTAATTTAATTAACATAAATTATAAATGATTTCCTCTTTTTCCTTTTCCTTCAGATCTTCAATTTTTTTTTTCAGCAACCATTTAGTTAAAAAGCAAAGCAGAAAGTCAAGATTATGGTTGGGTCGTCGCTTGATACAAGGCGAAGGTCATGCAGCCTTGTGGTCAATAATGCCTCGCAATCTCATGTTATTACATCCCCCCTCCCCCTCTCTCTCTCCCCTTTTTATTATTCTCATGAGGAGATACATATAAATTAAATTCGATGCGGAAAGGAAAAAGAACGAGGAACAAAGCAGAGGAGCATTTCTGGGTAATATATTTTTTTCATTGTTTTTTTTTCTTCTTGCAATTATTATTATTATTATTTTATCTGCTGTCTCGTGAACTATATTTAATGTTCGTTCTGGAAATCCCTGTTAAAAGAAAATTCAAAGTAAGCTCCTGGGCACTGGAAAAAGCAGAGAAAGGGGGGAAAGATTAAAAAAAAAAGGAAGAGACTTTATCTTTTTTTTTTTTTTCTCTTTTTTATTTTTGGCTTTGTTCTTTGACTTTCTGGGTTTTTGTTTTAGATTTAGAAGACGAGCACGGATCTCTCTCTTTGTTTCTTTATAATCTTGTTTTCCATCTGTTTCTCTTTTTCCCCTAATTTTTGGAAGATTCGACCTTTTCTATCAAATCCAGCTTCTGCTTTAGCTTGTCGAAATACTCGGAGGGGCTTCCGGGTTTTGTCGGAGAAATCATGAAGGCTTGCCCTTGCAGACCGATGTGATTCAGCTTCTGGGTTTCGATTCCAATCCAAAAAAAGGTTTCTCTTTCTCGCTATCTCTCGTTGTTTCTGGACTCAGATATGAGATTCGAACTCCAAAGTCCAAATCTTGCGTGTTTTAGGAAGTAAATCAGACAATTGTTTTTCATGATTTCATCTGTTGATTGTGAGAAAAACGTTTTATGGTATGTGAATCAGATAATTAAGTTCACTTCTGGAGCTCCCCAACTCCCTCTTGATTGGATTTGATAATCTGGTTTCGGTTTTTATTCTGGTAATTAAAGCCCCGTAATGCTCTTGGCTTTAGGTTCTATAATCAGTAACCACTTATTGCTTCAATGATCAATTGGACACTAGTTACGTCTCTGGTTTTAATCGTCATGGCAGCTGATGGATCATGGTGAAGGCTTGGATATGAAAACACACTCTTGAAAGTCTATGAACATCTTCCATTTTTTCTTGGGTATTTGGTGAAATTTTGTGTAAATTATTGTTTTATTAAAAAGGGTTTAGCTTGATTGATCGATAGCTTTCTGTAAGACAAGTTCCTTTATCGAGCATGCAATGGTGAAACTTTTTTCTTTGCCGAGCTTTGGCCAAATTTTCCTTCTCTTTTGGGGCTCACTTTTCCTTTATGGCTTTTTTTTCCTTTAGTTCTTTCTTAATAAGGTGACTCAGAAATGCCAAGGACTCATATGGCCTTTCTTATTGGTGCCTATGAACAGACCCACATGCGCTTTGTGGATGGAATCTGAGCTACGTAGTCAGAAACTTTTCGGGTTTTAGCTTTTTTCAGCTACTGTTAACTGGTAGAGGTGATGGAGTTATAAAGAAAAGGTTTCAATCTTGTGAAGGAGAGAGATCCTGCCCAAAGCAAGCGAAATGTCGTTCAGAAGCATTGTTCGTGATGTGAGGGATGGTTTGGGGAGCTTGTCGAGGAGGAGTTTCGATTTCAGGCTCTCGAGTCTCCACAAGGGAAAATCGCACGGATCTTTCCGGGAGAATTCTTCTCGTGACCTGACGAATGTGACGATAACTCAGACGAGTAGATGGGCCAATCTTCCTCCAGAGCTTCTTTATGATGTGATCAGGAGGTTGGAGGAGAGTGAGAGTAATTGGCCTGCAAGAAAACATGTCATAGCTTGTGCTTCTGTTTGCCGTTCTTGGAGAGCTATGTGCCATGAGGTTGTCAAGGGTCCTGAACTCTGTGGAATGCTCACATTTCCAGTTTCTCTCAAGCAGGTGAAATCTTTTCTATCTCGATGACCGTCTTTTCCAGTTTGCTTTCAGGGTTTCGTTCTTACGGTTTGTATATTTGGTGGGTCGGATTCAGAATTTTGATGTAGTTTTTTGTATTCTCTGTTTTCCGATTTCCAGCCGGGGCCACGCGATGGAATGATCCAGTGCTTCATCAAAAGGGATAAAACAAAGCTAACGTTTCACCTCTTTCTTTGCCTAAGTCCTGGTAAGTTTCATGTGGTGAATTGGTTTCCATTCGTTATACCCAACAATTTTGTGATGAATTGGTTTTTTCAGCTTTACTGGTGGAGAATGGAAAATTTCTTCTTTCGGCCAAGCGGACACGTAGAACTACTCGGACAGAGTACATTATCTCCATGGATGCCGGTAACATCTCAAGATCCAGCAACAGTTACCTTGGAAAACTGAGGCAAGAAACCCTATTTGATCCTCGTTTCGCGTTAAATTATTGGTCAGATATATCGTACGTTGCTAGTAACACGTTTATGATCATTCCCTGTGTTGTTTTGAATGGTCATTTTGTCACCTTGATGATTTTGTTTGCTCTGTTTTTGGATAGTCTTTTTCTGGATCAATCCCATTCTGATTTCTCCACAGAACACTCAGATTCCTTAGATTTTTTTTCCATCTGACAGATCGAATTTCCTTGGGACGAAGTTCTTGGTTTATGATACGCAGCCACCGTGCATTTCATCGAGGAGCCTTGTGACCGATCAGACGAGCCGGAGTAGATTCCATTCCAAAAGGGTCTCTCCGAAAATCCCCTCCGGCTCATACACCATAGCTCAGATCACCTACGAGCTCAATGTCCTTGGCACTCGTGGCCCAAGACGCATGAACTGTATCTTGAACTCCATCCCGGCTTCATCCCTCGAGACAGGTGGCTCTGTCCCTGGCCAACCCGAGAAACTCCTCCCGCCACGAACCCTCGATGACTCGTTCCGGAGCATCTCCTCTTTCTCTAAATCACTCGACCGCTCGGTGGATTTCGCCAGCTCAAGATTCTCCGAAATGGGTATATCTTGCGATGAAAACGCTGAGGAAGACATTGGTTTCAGACCGCTGATACTGAAGAACAAACAGCCGAGGTGGCACGAGCAGTTACAGTGTTGGTGTCTGAATTTCCGGGGGCGAGTGACCGTCGCGTCAGTGAAGAACTTCCAGCTGGTGGCGGTGAGGCAGGCGCCGCGCCGCGCCCC